TCATGCAAAAAAGGATTTCCGGAAATTCAAGTTTTACTTCAGACAAAACATTATTTTTTTTTATTTCCAATGGCAGACATGAAAGACAAATTTGTAGCCAAGAACAATATAAAGAAAGAACAAAAAACGGAAACAAGAGCTACAAAAATAAAGAGTCTATAGGTCTGTAATAATGCATCTCGCCCGCCAATATCGTTCCCACAAGGGCCCAGGAGGAAGTGCAGGGCAATGTCTTAGATGGTTAGCGTCCATTTCTTCTTGTTGGTTACATAATGGAGAAAGGGGGCTTGAAAAGATTTTAATTTTATACAGGTGTTTTGATAAACAGTCATGGCCAGTGGCGAGGCGAAAAAGGGCCACAGATTTTTCTCTTGGCCATGACGGAATATCTTTAATTCCTTCCAACCAGTCCTTATTTTTATTTGCTTCTTGGAGTTTTGCTTCAAATGTTGTTCGCAGAGAGATTTTTATTAGCCTTTTCGCGGTGTGGAAAGTAACTGGCTTAAGAGATATTTGTAGAATCTTGGCGGCTTTTTTGGCCAAGAAATCTGCAGTTTCGTTACCTTGAAGTCCACAATGCGCTGGTACCCATTGCATGGCGACATTTTTGTTGTGTTGGTCAAGCCTGTGAAGGGCTTGACGACAATGTAGAATGTCGGCAGATGCGGGGGCTTTGGAGGAAGCAATAGCTTGGAGTGCGGCTTTGGAGTCAGAGAGGATCACTACGTTATTAAATTTCTGAAGGTGATTCTGTAGTTGTGACAGAGCTACGCTTATTGCCGATACTTCTGCATCGAAGGCTGTTCTAATGCATCAAAACATTCACAAATAAATACGCGTTATAACTCAGTAGTACTTATTATGCAGCAGAAAGATTCATTAGAGTTTGTTCATGTAAAAAATATGAAGAACATGATTTCCGGAAATTCAAGTTTTACTCTAGACAAAACATTCACATATAAATACGCGTTATAACTCAGTAGTACTTATTATGCAGCAGAAAGATTCACAAGAGTTTGTTCATGTTAAAAATGATATCCGACAATTCATGTTTTACTCCAGACAAAACAATCACATATAAAAACTCGTTACTCAGTAGTAATTATGATGCAGCAGAAAGATTCACAAGAGTTTGTTAGCGTAACAAATAAATAAAATAAAACATTTAACCCGAAATCCACGAGAGTTCGGAATTCGCATTGCGTCAAAAAATAGCTCCCCGGATGCAAGTCAGGCTTTTGCAAAAGGATAAATATTCACTCTAATATTTCCGTTTCCTGCAAACACCATAAAAATGTTCGGTAGATCAAACGAAGTTACATTAAAACTCTTTCTGTAAGAGGGTCACTTTGGAGGACTCTGAGATTTGAGAGAAACTTCTCCAGATTCATCTCCGATAAAGAAACTCTTTTCCTGCTGGTACATATCGATTGCGTGCCCGTATATATGAAGATAATTCGAAGAGAAATAAAGTTGAGTTACTCTTCCTTTTTTTTGTGTTGCTGATGGGGGGATACTGACGGATGGGCAGAGTAAACGTCGAGTCCTGATATTGCAGGTCTTTGGGAAAAAGGGACCCTCGCGTGCATCCCCAATTCCAAGAAAACAAAAGGAACATCCCTTTTCCCGTTGTAATGAGAAAAAGGTTCGATAAATCACGGTTGCATACAAAAGCGCATATATATCATTCCCCGGTTTCTAAAGCTTTTATTTCTTTCTTTGGACTTCTGCTCATATGAAGAAAGGGCAAATGAAATAAAGTTCAGATGTTCGGGGCAAAAGAATTATGAACAATTTTAAAGATAATTGTCAAAAAACAAAACTCGGCGGTCAAAAGCTTGGTCTTTTGGTTTTATTCTTTAAGGAAATGAAATTCCATATTCTTTCCGGGGAATATTTTGCAATTGGTATAGTTTAACCCCTTAACGATCGGTTGATTTTCAAGAAAACGGTCATAAAAGTACCTATTTTTTTGGCTTTTGTATTTGTATTACGTACTTGTTTGGTGCTGCAACTAGTTCAGAATAAAATAACTATCGACAATTACTATAAAAATATCCTGGTACTGCCATCAGGTGTGTAAAATGAGAAGTAAATGTCCGGGCAAAAGAAATTAATTAGTTTTATTCTTATTGGCACGTTACTACTGAACACTCCACCCCGTCATTTTCACGGAAGCGAGAAGGAAGGGGTTAAATTTGAAAATTAATCAACAATTCGGAAACTACAATAAATTTACATACATCGTGATTTTTTTTTTTTTTTTGGCTACAAATGAATTTTAAAAATTGAACTTGGCGATTATTGCATTTGGAACTGTTTAAGTACAATTTAAAGAAAATTATCGGCAACAGAACAGAACTCAGCCAAAAGATTCCCTATTTGTTCCCTATTGTATTATAATACGTCATCCAGTTAGAATATTATGGGTCAATATTAAGGGGAGCTTTGGGCCATGTTGTAATGCAGAGTATTGACTGCGAATTTCTTCATTTTAAAGCTATTCAACACGCTATTAAATATATGCATACATAGTAACCTCTAGGACCACATTGTGGGCCCCCTACTAATCCTATAACTATTTCCTCTATAATATACCCGGTAATGTAATACGTGATCCACTTTGAGTATTATGGGTCAATATTAAGGGGAGAGCCGGCCAGGGGGCCGAGCGGTCAGCGTGCCTGACTGTGAAGCCAATGGTTGCGGGTTCGAATCCCGAGGGCATGGATGTTTCTCTCTGTGTGTGTACTCTATTGTGTGATGTGTGAATGTGGACCACCCTATAAACGGGTATGTGGCAGTGTGGCGTGGGTAATGTTGCTCGCCTCCGTGACTTAGGTTCACAGGTGCCCACTGGGTAACGTTAAATGAGTAACAACTCCGGCATCTTCCTAGGCAAAGAACGAAAGTTCAGCGCCTGCCGTTAAAAAAAAATATTAAGGGGAGATATAGGGCCATGTTTTCTTTATTTTTATTCTTGCCAGATACTATAGAAATGGAATCAATATTTTTTTCCAGGCGAAATTATTTCAATTAGTACAATTTAAATTTGAAAACTAATCAACATTCGGAAAATAAGATAAATTTAAGAACGTCGCTTTGTTTTTACTAAATATAAGATTCTAATGCGCAACACTTTGACACTAGTGCTCTCATTACAAGCAAATACATTTTGGTTTTTTTAAATTATAAAAAAACTAAAACTAACTAGTTACTAAAATAATGCTTTAGATTATCGGAATTATGCTGATACTAAATTATAACCCCCTCCCCCAAAAAATAGTTTTTATTTTTTATCTGTATTCAAAATTTTATCAATAGTTGATTTCGTATATTAAAGAAATTTCAATGATGAATAACTGTTGCTCTTGGATGTAAATAACTGCAAATTTGAAAAATTCTAGATTGGAAGTATTTGGAAGCTCTTACCTTTAACGCAGAAAAAAAACAACGGTGTTTCATTCTGCAATTTCATAACCATAAGTTATTAAAATGCTAAAATATAATTTTTTTCATTATTTTGATTTAAATTAATTCAAAATAATTTGAAAAGTATGAAAAATTTATACTATGAAAATCATCTGCGAATGAATTAAAGCAACGGCAATAATAGCATGTATTTTAATTTGACAAACCGATTAGTCCTAAGCTAAGCTACAAGTCATCAAAAAATAAATAAAATCACACCACATAAAAAGCAACATAATTTCAAATTTTCCAATATGAATTTCTCATTAACTTGAAAATGCCAGTTACTTCATTTTTCCCGAAGAAAAAAAAAGAAGCCATAAATTTAAATCGTTGTTTCCATATTTCAATAAAAATGCTTTCCTTTCATATAACTTGTGTTCCTTGCTACAAAATTAAACAGCACTGAGCTAAATCAATATTTATGATCTCCCCTTGGTGAGTGGAGAAATTTAAATGAAAATTTATGTAACGAAATATTACGACCCACAGTCATCAGAGATTAAAATTTCCTTCGTTCGAATTCACTTTAAATGCAATTATAGAGATTAAATCTGCTACAAACACACACACACACAACTTCCAAAAGCGGGGAGATTTATGTCCCTCTTTTGGAAATGAAATACTGCGGAGATTTCATAATTAGTTCTTACCCGGTATTATACTTATAGTTCAGTATCGTTAAAACGAATGTAAAAATATCAAATATTCTGAAAAATTCAAATAATAAAATCGGAAAAAGTAGGATAATTCTGCTAAAATAACAAAATTATGCAATTAACATAATAGAACAATGACAATCAAAGAGATACTATTTTTAATTCTCCCAAAACATATTCTAATACGTAATTATAATCTAGATGAATTTTTTTTACAGCCAAATTAAACATTTTCCACATAAAAACAGTTGAAAATCAAGGGGGGCGAACGGTTTATGATCAATTTTCACAAAAATTACGGTTTGATCAATGTTTATTGCATTTTGAGGGTCACTAAGTTTTGACAAACCAATAACGTGGAAAATCATCTCTCTCCGAGAGTTATTACTCAGTGAATATGGGCTGTTAAGAATCACTATTCTTAAGTTCTCTAAAAAACTCACTTAACATGTTATTCCACTTAGCTCATGAGATAAATGTTATATTAGCATAAGATTGGTATTGCTATTGCAGAGATGGATTCTTAAACTGTTCTTTAAAAACTTTCATCCAACATGTTATTGCACACAGCTCATTGACTAAACGTTTTATTACTATAAAGTTAGTATTCTAATCTGCGTGCAAGTGACGTCATCGTAGGTAAATCATGGTATTCGTAGATTCAGAAGCCAATCAGGTTCGTCACTTACGGTATCCAATTAAATCTGATAAAAATCACGTGGTTGGGTACAACCATTTCACTTTTTCTCGAGTTGCAAGTACTCAATTGGAATACTAAATTATTAAGTTCAGTTTACAACTAAAAAAGTAGTTTCAATGGGACCAAAAAGTTTTTGTTCACAATATCCTGAAGCTGCTATGCATTTAAAAACTGGCGACCTCGTTCATTACAATGTTATTTAAACAAATTTTTTTATCATCGAGCTCTTCAACTTATAGCTATTATGAATACAATATGTAGTATTTCAAAAATGTTTGACGAATTAAAAATACCTGAATTGGGTTCTCCTGGTTTCATGTTGGGTCTGTCCGATGCGGCACCATCTTCCGCTCTCACCAAGATGGCGTAAGCTTGCTTCTCTTCTCTATCGAATTCCACTCTTGTGTAGATTTCCCCAGTTTCCCTATCTATGGTGAAGAACTTGTCTCCCTGGTCCTTGGACTCGATGGCATAGTACACCTGTGCAAAAACACACATTATGTCAATCATTTGCCCTACACACATACTCAATCATTTTGCTTTAAAAGGACAATAGTGGACATTGAAAATAAACTTTTTTTTTTTTTACTTTGAGCATAAGGAAGTTATTTTTTCATTTCTGACAACAGTTACACCTATGCAGGAGTCTACAAATCATGGGTGTCCAGTCTCCTGGGTGCCTAAAAATTGTAGTTTTAAACGCAATAATTTAGTATATTTCAACTTTAAAGCTAAAGGCTTACTTTATTTTCCTTTCCATACTTTACTTTATTACCATTCCTTTTAGGAGCCAGAATCAACTATTTTCTATACTTGATTCTGGCTCCTAAAAGTTGATCCTGGCTCCTAGAAGTTGACCCTAGCTCCTAAAAAGTTTGCATTTTTGTAGATTGCAGCTAGAGGCTTATGTTATTTAACATTCCATAAAATTCTGGCTCCTAAAAGTTGATCCTAACTCCTAAAAGTTTTGCATTTACGTAGATTGTAGCAAAAAGCTTGTTATTTAACATTTCAAAAAATTCCGGCTCCTAAAAGTTGATACTAGCTCCTAGAAGTTTTGCATTTTTGTGGACTTCTGCATATGCGTAATTCTACAGTTGTATGTAATATCTGAACTAACATTGATTATCTGCTTGAGCATTAATCCTGACTTTTTCCGAACTTTCAGTAGCAGGCTTTTCTGCATGTTATTCAACAAGAGCGTAATGCATGGCAGGATAATTTTAATACAATTTTTACCAGAGGATCAAAATTTGGTGGACAGCAATGTTAAAGATATGAATGTCAAATTGTTTTTAAATAAAATCCGATATGCCAGGCATTGTGACAAAACAATTACGAAGATGTTGTATTAGAATTCCTTATAAATGCAATATCTAGTACTAGCCCATATGTAAAAAAAGCAGCACTTCAAATATGAAAGTTTAAATATTTTTATACAAATCCAAGATAACAACACGGTTGTTTATGATTATTAGCAACTCCTTAGAAAAAAGAAAGTTGCTAGCTAGCGTGCAAACGAAGCAACACTTACAAATATGAAAGTTCAATTATTTTTATACAAATCCAAGATGTAACAAAATGGTTGTTTACAATTATTAGAAACTCCTTAGAAAAAAGAAAGTTTGCTGGCTAACGTGCAAAACGAAGCAGCACTTACAAATATGAAAGTTCAATTATTTTTATACAAATCCAAGATGTAACAAAATGGTTGTTCACAGTTATTAAGAACTCCTTAGAAAAAAGAAAGTTGCTGGCTAACGTGCAAACGAGGCAGCACTTTCAATTATGAAAGCTCAATTATTTTTTATACAAATCCAAGATATCACAAAACGGTTGTTTACAATTATTAGGAACTCCTTAGAAAAAAGAAAGTTGCTGGCTAACGTGCAAGTGAAGCAGCACTTACAAATATGAAAAAGCCATTGAGTGAATGAAAAAAAATGTCTAACCTCTTCCTTTAAGAGCAATACGATGTTCCTCTATCGATCTTCTATGGCAACAAAAGAAAGATTGATCCAGGACCATTTTGTGTTGAATCCGAAACAACGAAACCATCACCTGCCCATTGGGCATTCGGTATTCTGATTTAATCTCATCTCTCCCACCACAGCTCTTTTCTTTTCTTTTTTTTGTTCTTTTTCTTGTTTAACTGCAACTTCTCCTACCATCCTTTTACCACAGCTTTTATTCCTAAATGAAGATTTCACCCACCCCTTTTTTTTCTTCTTTCTGGCAGTCATCATTTCCTACCGATGGAAGAAATTCGATGAGAAAAAGTCTCTTCGGATTAGCCGCACAAAGAAGCACAAAATGGCTGTTTTTTACACAAATCCGATTAGATCAAAAGTAGCAAATGAACATATAAATGGTTTGAGAAAGGACTGCTGAAATCCAATGGATGTAATCTATTAAAAATGCAATTTAATTGTGCAAATAGGAGTACGCAAAAAATATTTCACTTACAAAACATGAACACTAACAAGTAATAAAAAAAAAAATTCAAAGTCAATTTCCTACTTAGATCAACAAAGAAAAATTTTATTTTAGTTACTTTTTACTATATATTTACAATTTTTTTCTCCCATACTAAAAGTTATCAATTAAATTTAATGAATGAATTAATATCTGAAAAAACTGTATTAACATCAAGTTTCATCCACCACAAGTTTAAAAAATAAGTAACGCATAAGAAAAGTAAAAGTAATGCAGAAGAAATATATAAAATTTAACAACAACAACAAAAATTGTGATCGCTACAAGTTGATAACCCACTTGCATCGTTTTTTATCTTGCTTCAACTCTAACCTTTGGGACCGTGTCAATCAATTTGGGATCCTCTTTATTTGTGATATTCACCTGAATTAGTATTGAAAACTATCCATTTTGAGCTGCAGTTTAGAATTTCTGATTCTTAACTAAAACGATAAAAACAAAAAAGTATCGTTCAAATGATGAAATTCTCTTTTATTCACAACTCAAGAAGTATTTATGGGATCTCTCTGGTCCCATATCTCAAAAATAAACTCGCCCACTTAATGCACAACAAAATTAAAAGTGAAAAAAAAAAAGAATTCTAAAAAAGTTATCAAGCAGCAGCGGTCGCCATAGCAACGCGTGCAAAGACGACGCATGCGCACTGCTTACTATTACTCTTGAACACAGTTGAAAAGTGTGATGATACACAGTTTGAAAGTGCGAAATAAAGTGCGCACGCCATAAAACCTAAAACAAGATCCATTTTGCCAATGGGCAAAAATTGTATTTGGACTTGAATGAAGTATTTTATTAACGATTGAAAAATTGAACAAGATATAGCGAGAGTATGAACTAATACTAGAAATTGAAATAAACGGCGGTGATTTTTCTGCTCTTAAATATTCAAAGAATGATATATTCATTTCCCAGTTGAGCAAATAAAGGTTTTATAACCTTTTTTTATAACCGTCGTTGTACAGCCGATCCAATTGTGGGTTTACGACTACTAATGTTCAACTCCGTAATCTTGTAATTTTGAACCCAATCCAGAAGACAAGGGAACTTCTGGATCAAGTATTGGGAGAAATTTGCCTTCGTGGAGGACTTTTTGATGAAACTATTCCACATTTGCTTTATATGGAGAGGAAAACCTCCCACGGTTGACGGCAAGGGGACTTTAGCCCGTGATCTGTCTACCACTGGGGATATTTTATGTCAGCATTGTGGTAGGTGCGAGCTGGGTGCGGGATTCGTATTGATCACCCACAGCTGGGATTCGAATCCGGTTCACCTCATTGGAAGGCGGAATGCCTATCCCCTGAGCCACCACGACTCGCGACTAAAAGTTTTGAACAGCCGTTGAACAGCCGACAAAATTTTGGGTTTACGACTACTAATGTTCAACTCCGCAGTCTTGTAATTTTGAACTAATCCTGAAGACAAGGAAACTCCTGGATCAGTACCCCTAGAGGTATTGATTTGTTATGGGAACATGGAGGACTTTGCGACTCGACAGATTTGAAGTGCATCAGTCATCATTTANTCAATATACAAAGAATGTTACATTCATTTCCTCAGTTGAGCAAATAAAAGTTTTATAACCTTTTGTTATAACCGTCGTTGAACAGCCGATCCAATTTTGGGTTTACGACTACTAATGTTCAACTCCGTAACCTTGTAATTTTGAGCCCAATCCAGAAGACAAGGGAACTCCTAGATCGAGTATTGGGAAAAATTTGCCTTCGTGGAGGACTTTCTGATGGAACTAACCCCCTTGCTTTACATGGAGATCAAAACAACGAAACCTCCCACGGTTAGCCTGACGGCAAGGTGACTCTAACCCATGATTCGTCTATCACTGAGGACATTTCACGTCAGCGCTGTGGTCGGTGCAAGCCGGATACCAATTCGTATCGACCAGCCATCGCTGGCATTCGAACCCGGCTCACCTCATTGGAAGGCGAACACTCTATCTCCTGAGCCATCGCGGCTCGCCATACTATCATTGACACCAATGATGCTTAGTTCTGGTAATAGAACTAATATTATGATTATTGTTGCATTTTTAATAGGCTCAAAGTTTTCAACGCCTACTCAAAGTACAAGAGAAAGTTGCTTGAGTGTGATAAATTTTATAAATCATAAGTTGCATCGAGCAGCACCTATATACCAGATGATACTGGATACAGTTAATCTTTATTTTGATGGGATGAACTACTTAATACGTGTTTAGGTTAATCTAACAGCGTAAAGTCCCCGGTAGGCCACTATTCCACATTTGCTTTACATGGAGAGGAAAACCTCCCACGATTTAGCCTGACGGCAAGGGTACTTTAACCCATGATCTGTCTACCACTGAGGATATTTTATGTCAGCATTGTGGTAGGTGCGAGCTAGGTGCAGGATTCGTATTGATCACCCACTGCTGGGATTCGAATCCGGTTCACCTCAGTAGAAGGCGGAAGCCCTATCCCCTGAGCCACCACGACTGGCGACTAAAATTTTTATTCTTATTTTATATCCGTCGTTGAACAGCCGACAAAATTTTGGGTTTACGACTACTAATGTTCAACTCCGCAGTCTTGTAATTTTGAACCAATCCTGAAGAAAAGGAAACTCCTGGATCAGTACCCCCAGAAATATTGATTTGTTATGGGAACATGGAGGACTTTGCGACTAGACAGAGCTGACGTGCATCAGTCACCATTTACTACACGGGGAGTCTTCGGTTGGCGGGAATCGAACTCTTGGATATGGGCCCAGCGCCCTACCAACCAGGCTTTGCTTGATATAAAGTAAAAGTTTTGAAATCTTTTCCAATCTTGCTTAAAAACATCCTTGTGGACAATCGCATTGCTGAAACTATCCTAGTTTTCTATATACTGTATTTATTTTAGGATGACTTGGTAGATTCCAACCATAACACAATGAAAAAAATAATAAATTGCCTATAATATCATTTTTTTCCTCCTCGAAACTTTTCCAATCTTCGCTCTTTTTTT